AAAATTTCAAGTCTAGTTTTTAGTTTTTGTTCAGATGATAATTTTGTTTTATCAATTGATTTAGGAAAGGCAATTTTAGTCCATTCACAATCAATAATTGATTATACTAGCAATGGAAAAATTAATATAGATCATATAATATTACCAACATTTCATAATTTAAAGTTTTTAAAAATAAATTATAGAAAAAGTGGTGATACAAGTTATTTGAAAACCGCTCTACTTCCAAATATTGAAACTATAGATTTAATGTTTAATAATCGGACATCTTTATCAGACTTATCAGGATTCATAAAAATAAGTGGAAGCAGTCTCAAAACTTTGAAAGTTAGGAGTCGTTATCAGAGAGACCATGAATATTGGGGAGAGCTTCTTCAATCAATTGCACAATATTGTCAAAATTTAGAATATTTATCAATTATTTATGATGAATTAGACAAACGAATAATTTCAATGTTTATTAATTGCATTAAATTAAAATCTATTAGGCTTACTAAAATTGATGAGTTGAATGGTGATAGAATTTTAAATGCCTTAAAAATCAAGCATCATCAAAAAATTTAAATATAATTTTTGGTGATAGTATTACTATTTAGATAGTTCACTGGAAATTTTAATGAATAATTGGGATGGACCTAAACCTTTTAAAATAGAATTAACAGGCTCATCAAAAATTAGACTAGGAGATTTATTAAAAAAATATCAAGGATTGGGATTTTTAAAATTATAAATCATCAGTTCACCAATTAATTCATAAATTTTATGAATATATGAATTAAATATCAAACACACATACACACATATATCTTTTACTCTATTACAAAACTATTTGTTTATATTACAATTTCAATTTTAAGAAAGTCTTTCTTTACAGGTAGAGGGCATTTATATTGTTTAAAGATCGACATTCATCTTGAATATTTATCTAATAATACTTGTTTTTCATTTACTAGATATGTACAGTTTTTTATTTATTTATATACAGTGTGTTACGAAAATAGTTGACGTTTTCTAAAGAAAGTAACCAAAATCCAAAGCCACATTAAAAAAATTATATCAGAGGGTCAAGAGATTTTAAATTATTACATATAAAAACTTTGAACATATTATTATGTA